GCTCAGTGTTTTTCTCCTGATTGAGAACAGTCAGTGGTGTCTGTCCTTACTCGTTCTGTTCAGTCATTTATGGGAGCTCTTAACCTGTGCAGTATGATGGGGAGGGGGCGGAAGGTACAGAACTCTTGTTCTCAGTTTTTTTGTGTTTGTAGAAAATCCCAAGGAGTCTATTTAGGGAAAGAAAAAAAAAAATTAGGGAAAGAAAAAAAAAACAAAACTCTACAACTAGTAAGTCAGCTTAGCAAAATCACAGGCTACCTGGTGAATAAACAAGTCATTTTTAGATTTGTGTATCCTTATCTCTTACTAGCAGTGAATGACTGCAAAGTGGAAGCTTAATAATTGTCATTTATAATAACATAAAAATAAATGTGTATAAGCTATCCTGCTGCAAGCCATCCAGCACAACTGACATAAATAGGAGGGAATGTACACTGTGAGCACTGGTCAGAAGACTCTGTAATTTTAAAATTTCTCCCCAAATTGATCTGTACATTTAAAACAATTTTAAAATCCTAAAAGGCTTTTATGGAACTTGATAAACTGCATCTATAATTAATATGGAAATTATGAAGACCTATTACCACCCATTTAAAAAAATTTGTTACTTGATTTTAAGAGAACTGTAAAGTCGTAGGAATTGGTATAGTGATGTTAACATAGATTCTAGAAAGACCCACACATTTATGGCCAGTTGATTTTTTTACAAAGATGTCAAGACAATTCATTGAGCAAATGGTGCTAGAGGAATTATATATCCCCATGGGCTGTGATGAAGGGGACAGTGGCACCTTGGCCTTCATCTCATACCATAACCAAAAATTAACTTGAATGGGTATTAAGTAATCTTAAACCTTAGAGCTGAAACTGACTCTAAAAATTCTAAAAGAAAATATGACATTCCTAAGACAGCAGCATTTTGTGAAGGCCCAAAAAGCTTGAACCACAAGAGAATGAATGCTGCTAAATTTCACTTCATCAGAATTTATAGTTTACTTTGGAAGACATGAAGAGGCAAGGCCTCGCATGGCAGTGCACCTGAGACAGCTGTCTTCAGGGTACGTAGAAGCGAGTGTGTGGCGTCTTCTGTGTCCTCACTCCGGCACTTGTCAATGACGGTGATGACTTAAGTGACTGGGTGTTTCATTACATTCCCTCCACTGTGATTTTTTTTTGAAATAATAGCATTAACTCCCAGGCTTTAGGATTATAGTGATAGTCAGAGGGGGAAAAAAAAAGATGGAGTGCTAATGCTTTTCTTTTGTGTTACCATTATTGTTATTGTAGTAGACCTTGTTGATTCTTAACTCTCCCTTGGAAAAACGGTAGATATGAAAGGATCTTTCTTTTTCACACAACCGACTATAATTACCTCTTAAGAGTCTAATTTTTTTAATGTTTCAATAGATATGTGAACAGATCTGTAAACGTCCTTTTATATCCTTTTGAATCTAGTTGATTGTGGAAATCACAAGTGGGTGATTTTTAAAATCTGTTTTCTCTTAAGAAAAGAATTGCATGCGCTACTTTAGGGTCTGCCCTAGGAGTTTATGCAAATCCAGCCCTTTTTACTAATCTTACTTTTTTTTTTTTAAAGATTTATTTTTTTGTTCAAACAGAACTGGGGTACAGGCCAGAGGCTCAGGGGCGGCAAGAGGCTTCCCCAGAGACAGAGTGGGGAGCAGAACAGGCAGATCGACGAAGTACACTGCTGAGGGGAGCAGCGGGCGGGTCAGGAGAGGTCTGCCGCGCCATGTGGTCACCTTTGGGGCAGGCGGGGATCGAACTCATGTGGAAGTGGCTTTAGCTTCTCAGTGCTGTGCTTTAACCTGCTGCGCCACCAGGGAGGGCCCTTTACTAATCATACTTTTACGTGCAATTGAAAACAACATTTTTTAGAGGTATAGAGATAATAAATAATAAACACGTTAGTATGTGAATGGATATAATATTATAAATATATCCTTTGTGTTACATATCCAAATTGTGGCAATAAAAGAACTAATCATTATTGTCCTTTTTGCCTGGGTACCTCCTTAGATTCTGGCTTTTCCATATAGCAAGATACAAGATACATGCTCTAAAGCATCTGTGAAATGAAAGATAGCTAAGTGTTTCCCAAGAACATATTCCATACTTTGAGCTAAAAAAAGATTTCATGTCACATGAGACAAACAAATCCATTTGTTTTTGGCACAGAGAAAATGAGTTTTTTAATATCTGAAAGTTAGAGGTTGGTCACATCTACTATATAAATTTAAACTGTATTACAGAGGATTAAAAAAATAATACAACCAAGGATTGTTTTTAAAAAGCCAAATTAAGGGACTCAGGCGGGGGCAAGAAAGATAGAAAATATGACATGATCGCACTTGGGCACCTTATGGCGCCTTCTTGGTTTTCACACTGAGGGAGATGAGGTGGGGCGTGGGGCGGTGGTAGTCAAGACGTGGGATGCAAGCACGTCTTTTCCTTCTGTGTTTCTTCTCTCAGCTGTTGTTGCATCACCTTTCAGTCACCCACACTGTCTCCCTGGAACTGGAGAAAGATTGGCAAGAGGAAGGGGTATAAGATTGATATGAGAAAATATTTATAAACTGGCTCTGGAGGCTTGGAAGGGGCCGTGTCAGCATTCTGAGTGCTTTGGATTATGGTCATGTGCTGGCTGTCTACTCACTGACATTCTTTTTTTTCTTACTAACAGCGAACCACTGTTCCTAACCTCTGTTCTTTCCCACTTTATCTTTAATTCTGAGGAAAGTTCTTATGTATATAGTACACTAGCAGTTCATGCAAACTTGCTGTCAGCCATACCGATCCATAAGCCAAACACACCCAGTCCTTAGGTTAGTCGCGTGTGACGTATGATATTCTTCCTCATGGCTTTGAAGTTTCCAGTTTCTGCAGAAAAAGAATCTTTTTTTTTTTCCTTTGTAGAAATAGAGCAAAACTATATAGATTTTTTGAATCACAGTACCTACTATTGTATAAACTTTAGAGGCTGGAGACCTTGTCTTTGTAGCTTCCAATAATGTTTTGTGCCAAGTAGATGCCTAGTATTTATTGAAAGCAACACTTTTCATCATTTAGTGTTTTCTGTGTGTTAGAAAAAGGAAAAGAGGAATAAATGTGTTTGATGGCCAAGAGGGCATCAATTTTCAGTGTCAACTGAAATAACACTGCAGTGATGTGAACTGAGTTTAGCAAGAGAGAAATTTAGTAAAGAGATTTTTCAGACCCTGGCAAGGAGAGTAGCATCCGCTTCTCTGAGTGCCTGGTCCCCTGCCTCAGGGTTCAGGCCTTGGTTTATGTCGGTAAGTTACATACACAGAAGGAAAACTTAATTGTTTTTCTTAACAAGGGGGAGAAAATCTGGTAACATTTTCATTTAACCAACTTAAGTTAACCAATGTAACTGCTAAAGGAGAAGCCCTGCCCATCACTTCGAACCTTCCCTGATGTCGCGGTGGGCAGGATGCAGAGCTGCTGTGCTGGGGAGATGGGGACCAAAGGTGATTTGCACCCCCCATCCCCACAGTGCCGGCGTAGATGTGAGGCTCAGTCTCCTGCCTGCAGCTCACCAACACCACAGGGCTCGTGGTTGTGTTTCTCCCTTGGGTTGGCCCAGTAAGGTCACTGTGCTGCTGACACTGCCTCTGGAGGTGGCCCTGGCAGGGTGGAGGGAGAAATCTTCCAGTGGAGCACAAAGAATTCTTCTTAGTCCACAAAAGTGTGATAATCAAGAGTTTTCTTAAAGGTAACTGAAAAAGCACTTAAAAAGTCTAGAAAGTGCTGCTTCAAGGTGAAGTATGTTTCTTGTTCATTTTTGTCTTTAATCTTTTGTGCCATCTAGTTTGATGTTTTTATTTTTCATCTAGTTTTATTTTGTCCTGTCCTTTCTCCCCCTCCCTGGCCCCACCTTACTCACAATTCTTTCTGTTGCACCTCAGTAACTAGGTTTCAACAGGCGTGTTTCATTTGAGTCTGTCACTTTCTCTGCTTTTACCCTTGTCCACTATGAACATTACCTTCATTTAATTAAAACTAGGAAACTGGATTTTGCTCCAGATGAGCCCAGCAGAGTTCTTAAGTGACTGGTTTCCCAAGCCTCATCAGGTACCCATATTTCAGATCACAAACTGTGGTATCTGTACCACACCGTGGTGATTGGGAATCTGTAATGTTAAAATGAAAAAGCAGTGTTAGGATATGGCCTTGTGCAAGTTAGCCATATTCAACTGGCTTTCTTTATCTGCAAAATCGAGAGAATTAATGTCTGCCCTTGAACGTAATAGAATTTGTTGTGAATACAAAATTAAACAAAGCATTGTAAGCTACAAGACCTCTGCAACTTTAAGACATTTTGTGGATGAGGTTTCCAAAATGCCACTTAGAAATGGCTCAGTAAACTAAAGTAGCCATGCACCTCTACGGGGCCTCTCTCTGGATTTCTTTTTCTGTAGTAGCCTCTTTACCCTTATGGGAACTTAATGCACCTTTACACCAGATGTCACTACCTTTGTGAGTTTTTTCTCTGTGATCTAAGTTAAAAGCATTATCACTCCTCTAGTATGTAGACCACTTTCTAATTGACGTAGCTACTCCCTTATTTTCACGTTCCTTTCTGCTACCCCATTCCTGAGTGAAACATCCAAATCATGAAAATAGTCATTAAATTAGGGCAGTAGTTACTTAGACCTTAATGGGTGTCTCTGGTCACAGGGGAAACCTCATTTCATCCTTGGAAGTCAGGCGTCAGGTTTTCTGCTTCATCCGCACTGCTCTTCCTCATTTTCACACGGCCCGTCCGACTGCAGGTGTTTTGCCTAGAACAGTGTCTACTTCCTTTGTCTAGATGATGTCTGTCCTTCAGAGCTGAGCTGTGGGAATGCCTAAGGGAGTGTGCTTTCCTAGCTTCACTGACATGCTGAACACATGGCATACTCTCACAGCACTGGGTGCCCATCACAGCACTTCTTACAGGCGCAGCATTGCCACTTACTTGTGGAATTGTTGAAATAATGACTCACGACTCACGGAACTGGAGCTTTATGAAGGTAAAAACTGTGCTTGTTCCTGCTCTCTCTGTATTCCCGTTACCTAGGCAATCTGGGACAGTTGTCACTTAGTATTAATTGGGTGGATGAGTAATAATGCACAAAAATCGCACGGCCAAGCATTGGATTAGGAGTTCTGGGTCCTTACTTTTATATTTCCTGGTTTACAACTGACTTGGAAATTTCTTGTAAGCTTTTATGCCTGTTTGGGTATCTGTAGAACCGATTGTGAAGGTATTTTGAGAAGTATACAGAGCTATTTGAATGTGAAATTATATTAAGTAGCTAATGATATAAATGGAAGACTGTGATGAATACCAAGTAGAATGTATGGGCCTTTTTTGTAAACCACAAAAGTTGCATTTCTTGTTGGATTTTAATCTCTTGCTTTATAGTTCTTGTATATTTGACCACTTGCTATACTGGAAATATTCTCTCTCACTAGCCATCATTTGGGGCAGTAGATTTCTTTTATTTTCATTTATGAAAAACAAGAGCCAAAACTTTGTCTAAGACCAGCCTTAAAAATCCCTCTCTATGGTCCCACAAGCCCTATATAGACGTGGCCTCCCACAAATGGCTGACCTGTGTTTTATGATCACCTATTGCTGTGTGCTGTGAGGCATAAAGGAATTGTATGTTACTTTAACTCTGGGTAAAATGGAATAAGAAAACATCAGTTAATTGAATTGTTTGAAAATTGAATTCTTTGTTACATTTGGTGATCCCTAGTATTCTACCACTAGCCTATTAAAATATATTTATGTTCGCTTCCTCTCTACCTTCTGTTCTCAGCTTTTCCTACCTTCACCCTTTTTCATTCCTCTAATTTTTCTTCAACTTCAACAATCTGGGTTGCAGGGGAAAGAAACCTGGCACTTAATCAAGAACATGATCTCATTGCTTTCAATGGCTTAGAAAAGAAACATTTTAAAGCAGTTGAAAGATTTCACTTTGGAAAGTAGGTACTGCATAACTAAGTGTGTTGGTTCCCAGCAGAGCCTTGAGTAACCTTTTCCCAGCCATCCTCATGTTTTTTTTTTTTTTCTCTTCTACTTCCTGTTCAGTGAGCAATAGCCTACACTTAAAACAAAATCCTGTAAGTCCCTTTTGGCTCTCTTGCCAGAGTGGTGCTTTCTGTTCTTTCACTCTGCCACACAGTACTTCTATGTTTCTGAGGCCTGGTTGTCTCTGGGCTTCATCACTTATGTAGCTATAGAGTGTGATTTGGGGTGCCTTCTTGGCACTCCAGCTGTCTTGTTGCTTTAAGTATTTCTGGGAGTCCTGTAACAAGGATTTGATTATATCAAGGATTCGGGAACAGAAGTGAATATTCTTTCCTTAAGCCTCCTTGGAAAGTCTGCTCCATCCAAATCACCCTAAAGCTGGTGCCTTACTACTACCACTATCACTGCTACAGGCCCTCTGAGGGATGTGGCCGTGCCAGCAAAGCTGTCCTGGTACCTTCAGAGGGGCAGGACTGCCCCTTCCCCCTCTGTTCACATTTTGTCCCCAAGGCCCAGAGCTCAGGGTGTGTGCTCTCTAACAGGCTCTCTTGAAAAGGTTTCTTATCATTTGGATCTACCCTTAAACTCTGCTGGGCCCCAAACCAGTTCAGAGAGCCAGGTGGAAAATGACACCATGCCATTTCTTCCACTGTCCTTGCTTTGTTTCACTCTCCAGCTCTTGCCCTTTCCTGCTGAAATTTCCAGCATATATGAACTAAAGGCAGAATACTCTGTGTGTGTGTGTGTGTGTGTGTGTGTGTGTGTTGGAGAGGGGGTGTCATACTTGGGATCAACCCAAGTTACATTTTCATACACTGATTCTCACCTGCTGTAAATTAAAGGCAACAAAAATGTGTCAAATGCAAAATCCCCGAGCACCTCCACTCCTCACTTAGCAGGTTCTCACCCTGAGAGACTCGGTATTACCCCATTTCTTGTGCATCCCTCCAGAACTAGAAGGATGTTTTAAGGATGTAGAAACAAGTCTGTATAATTACTTACAGATTTCGCACTCTCCTCCACCTCTTTCCTTCTTTACACTTGGAGCACTGTTGCGTTTCAGCACGTAAGGAAACCTGCATGGTCATATCCTGACTTATTTATCTAGTCTTCCAAGGTGGACATTTGCCTTCTTCCTAATCTTACTATAATATTGCAGCAAAGAATACATTGAATGTATGTTATTTCCACTTGTGTGTTACCTAAGTGACAAGTACCCAGAACTGGAAATGCTGGATTAAAAGTTACAAAATTTGGAACCTGCTGATAGGTTACCTACTGGTAATTTTTAGTTGTTGAATTCTGAGGGGGTTTTATTTTGTTTTTGGTTTCTAGTTTATAGTCTGGGCACCTCCTTTCAGTAAACTGGCTTTATAGCCATTTCATTTTATTTGTTGATTTCTCAGACAGTGGCTAGGCAACATAAATAACTGAACCAGGTGTAAGAGAAAAAATACTTAATTTATGTTTTCACATTTACAAAGAGGTAGAGGCATCATGAATTATTTCTCTGTCATGGAACAATTGAAATACTTGGGTGATAGACGACAGCTGATATTTAGTGTCTGGAGATGGCAGGGACTGTGGTGGCCTGGATACAGGGGAAGGCCTGTAGTGGGGCCAGTGCTGTTCCTCGCTAGTCAAGTGTGGGCACATGGTGACTTGGTGGTGACAGATGCTGCTAGTTTTGTTCTTTTAAAAATAAGAGCTTCCATTTTTTATATTCAGTTTCTTGACTTGAAGGACTGTGTGAACCAAACAGAACATAGGTATGTGTGATCCAGTCTCAGCCTCGAGTGTGTGCTCTCGGCTGTGGCTTTTCAAAGGGGACTTCTAGATCTAGCCTGTCGCTCTGATTACCACGACTTCTAGGTCCTCATCATCTGCTACGTTCTAGATGTTGCCTTAAGCGGTGCCATTGATTTTTATTCAGTTTTGCATACCACTATCTACCCTTCTGGGTATTGATTTGTAATCTCCTTTACCTTGGTGTTTCCAGTCACAGTATAAAGAACCATGGGATTCCCACGTCACATTTCTATTCACTTATTCCCCTGTGACTACAGTAAGCATTTCTGCTTTAGAAGCATACACTGTTAGAATTTCTAACAGCCAGCAACGTAATATACTGGTAGGCTTTATGTTTTCTCCATGATTGTTACTGGGATTCTTTCTAGGTCTTGCATCTCTGGAGGCAGGGGCATCATGTTCACAGATACTAGCGTAAGTGTAGGTACTAGGTAAGAAAATAAAGAACGTTGAGTTCATTCATGGCTTTTTTTTGAATGTGGTTTGTTTTGAGCGGTATTAGAAGAGAAATGAAAAGCTTGAGCCCCTAATATTTATGATCCCCATTGGATAATAGCTTCTTACCCTTACTCTGGGGACCTCTACTACTACATGTTTTTGTGTTGCATTTTCCAGAATTTCCAAGGGTGTATAGTATTGCCTTGCTCAGTCCCTTGAAGATGCTTAGTTTTTGGAAGAGAAAGTAATTCTTTAAAGATGGTTATTAGAGGCCCTCCCTGGTGGCGGAGCGGGTTAAAGCACAGCACTGAGAATGTAAAGCCACTTCCGCATGAGTTCGATCCCCGCCTGCCCCAGAGGTGACCACATGGCGCGGCAGACCTCTCCTGACCCGCCCGCTGCTCCCCTCAGCAGTGGACTTCGTTGATTTGTCTGTTCTGTTCCCCATTCTGTCTCTGATGAAGCCTCTCACCGCCCCTTGAGACTCTGGCCTGTACCCCAGTTCTGTATGCACAAATAAATAAAAATCTTTAAAAAAAAATGGTTATTAGAGACTCCTGTTTTTTTTTAAAAGAGATTTATTTATTCACATATACAAGAGTTGGGTGTAGGCCAGAGATATGAGGATTGTGAGGCCTCACCAAAGACAGAGTGGGGGGCAAAACAGGCGGCTCTACTGAAATACACTGCTGAGGCGAGCAGCGGGGAGAGAAGAGAGGTCTGCTACAGCTCCCTGGCCAGGGATTGAACTTGTACTGCATGGCTGGAGATAGCTTTCTATTGCTGAGACTTAATCCCGTGAGCTACCAGGGAGGCCTGAGATTGTTTTTGTTGATTTTTTTTTTTTTTCCTCTCAAATAGTCAAAGTCTTTACTCATAATTATGCTAGCTAGGTTAGTAGGAAAAACTGTGGCAAATTGAATTGGGGGTGGGGGGAGCTTGGGACAGTGAGTTCTTACAGATAATGGAAGGGAGCAAGGTTTCACCAGGTCAGAGCTGAGAACTATCTTCCCAGCCCAGGGTTTATATGTGCCAGTGAAACTGCTTTCTCGTAGCTCTCTAAATGGTGTCCCCCAGTGTTTTCACTACTGTATTGTAGTTCACTAACTGATACTGTCACTAAACCACTTTTACCCTAGAGTACGGTAGCATTTTACAAAGATTAATGCCAAGCTTCAAAGGTGGTAAGGAAGCTAATATGTCTGGGTGCCTACTTTAGGAACCTGCACCCCCCTTTTAAACTATCTCATTTATTTCCTAGTAGTGACCCCTTGAGGTAGGTAGTGTTGTTTGCAATTCACAGAAGAGGGAACTAAGGCTTTAGCAAGACTAATAAATATGAAAGATCAAACAGAGTAGAATGTGAGATTTCAAGCAATAATAAATCTTGCTATTAAGTCTCTTATTTTTTGTGCTATGTTTTACTCTCCCTTTGCATTTTAGAAAGGTTATTTTGTAAACTGTAACAAGAATAGGAATGGTGAGAGGGTGGTCGGGAAAGATGGCATTAAGCAGCATAGAGAGAGGCTTTCAAGCCAGAGAGAGGGGCAGACGGGCTGGAGAGAAGTTCCCAGAGAAAAGAAGCTGCTAGCAAGGGTTGTTGGCACTGCGGGTCGAGCAGATGCGCGTGTTGTTTCCGTTCAGCACATAAAGCGTGTTTTTTTCTGGCTGTAAATTTCAGTTAAAACGATGACCTGTCAATTCTGTGTTGAAGTTAGAACATTAAGTATTTTAAAACTATATCAT